GGTACAGCTGTAGACACCCGTCGAACACCACTGGGGCCAGGCCCTGAGGGTCTCAGAGAAGAGCAAGGCTTTGTCTTCAAGGAGCAACAGTTGTGGGGAGGTGGACACAAACCTCACATCACATGTGGGGCCGCCTACCCTCCCAGCCCAGTGATGCCAACAGTCTCAGAGATACACACTCGGGCTCAAAGACCTTGTGTGTGGAGCCTGGGACTTAACACCTGGAGTAAGCCCTGTTATTATCCTATGAGTAGCATAAATCACATTGCATTGTATTTGTGTATGTGTGAAAGCATCATTTTGATAAATATAAACCGGGCACCTTGAGTATGAAATTTGGTCTGGGCATCTCTCGTACTCTGAGAGCCCCAAGGGAGACAAAGTGGGTTGTGGAAAGTACACGAAGTTTCACCCACCAGAGTGACACCCCCTGCCGACTTGAGGCTGGGCAGGGCACGCTCCACACCCTGCTGGCGGGAGTGTGAATAAGCTCCACCTCTCTGAACAGCAGTTTGGCATCATCTGGTCAAGCTGAAGCTGTGTAGACCATGTGACGCAGCCATTCTGTGTCTGGGTATAGACCCGAGCAAAGGTTACGCTCATGTGCATCAGGACACATGTACAAGAATGTCCACGGCAGCACTGCTGGTTATAGCAAAAGACGAGGAACAAATGTCCTCCAATAGGAGGAGAGAAAAGAAAGGTAATACGTTCATGCGATGGACGTTATACAGCAGAGGTTCTCAACTGGAGGTGATTTTACCCCCAGGGGCCATTTGTCAAGATCTGGATACATTGTTGGTTATCACAACTCGGGTAGGGTGCTACTTCCATCTAATGGGCAGGGCCAGGGACACTGGTAAACAACCTACAGTGCACAGGACAGTCCCCTCCTCCCCCACAACAAAGACTTTCCCAGTCCAAAATGGCAACCGTGCTGAGGTTGAGAAACACTGATGCACAGCCGTGCAATGAATGAGCTACAGCTGCATATATCGAGGTAATGATGAGGAAAAAGCATGTTGCAAAGACACATGAAGCACAATACCATTTAGATAAAGTTCACAAGTGTGCAAAATTAAGCAGGATAGCATAAGGGGGGAAATAGAGTACAGAGAAGGTGCAGGAATAATCAACACAACATTCAGAATCGTAGCTACCCTGGGGCTGGGGCAGGCTGGGGCATGTGACCGGAGGGGTGGTGATTCCTTAAGCTGGGCAGTGGGCTCCCAGGTGCCTGCCGTATCGCAGTTTGTTGTAACATGAAATAGTTCCTAATAAAAATAATGTTTTTAAGTGCGTTGAGGTGTGAACTAGTCCTGCAAAGAGCTGCCTGACTCAGTTTCCCACGTGGTTGAGCCTCCTTCCCTGCCTTGCTCCTCGGGATGATGGTGTGAGGGGTGTCAGCAGCTCCAGCTGGGAAGGGAGGGGCAGGGAGGGGTGCAGATGCCGACACCCCTCGCATTGGTCCCTAAAGGGACCTCTCTCCCACCTCTGCCCTGGCCTCTGGCCAGCCTGGCTTTGCAGCTGACCCTCTCTGATCCATTCCTCCCCTCACACCTCCTGTACGTGCTCTCTATTAAACAAGTCTGGCCAGGTCTCTCTTCTGCTCTGCAGTCTTCTGTGGCTCCCAGTGCCCTCAGGCTGACTTTGAGGATATTGCCTGTGACATCAGAGGTGCTAGGCAGCCATCCTGTGCGTGGCTGACTTCCTGATCCCCAGAAGGGCACATCTGTTAGTGGTGTGAGTGAATGAGCCCACTCTGCCCTTGACCTCCCGCTGTTGCCCTCCAGGGGGCCAACACCGGGCCAAATCCCCTCCTGGTGGCCCCAGCTTCAGTGCTGTTTCCCCGCCTATAAATGTGGGGCTTGACACACTTCATCACTAAACTCTGTGTTCTTGGGATTCCCCATGTTCCATGCTGCTCCAGTCCCAAAATGAAGTTGGTGGCAGCCCCAGGCCATACCTGGCTTCCTTTGTAGCCCAGTTTGCCAAGGGCAAGCACTAGGTTTCCTGTACAGCCCATGTTTCACTGTACCTCAGTGTTTGCCTCTGGAAAATGGGTGCAAATGTCCTTATGGGAACACTGTCATGGTCCAGAGGATGGGGAGAATGTGCAGGGAGAGGGGGCGTGGCTCGATCCTCCAGAGCTTTGCAAGAGCTCTGCTAGGTACTTGACACTGGCCCTGTGGGTGAGGGCTTAGATGAGAAAATTGTGGCTCAGAGAGGGTAGGGACTGGCCTGAGGTCAGCCAGCAAGTCAGCGACAGAGGAGCTGGGAGATAGAGCCAACAACCTGCAGTGATCTGCCCGCAGGAATAGCTGGGAAGCTGCAGCCACGGCTGGCTGTCCAGAGGCTTGGGGAGTCTCTGGCTCGGGTACAACGTGAGAGCCCTGTAGCAGGAGGAAGTGGGGTGATGCACGTGGTCCTGGCACAGTGCAGATCCCCAGCATCATAGAACTAGACGCACAGCGGGAGGGACATTGCAGAGCAGCCGGTCCACTCCTCCTCTTTGAGAAGGAGTAGTTTATAGGGTAAAGTGCACTCTTGGGCTCAGATGGTCCTGGGTTCAAATCCCAGTTCATTCGCTTGTGACCTCCGACAAGTGACTCGACCTGCGTGAGCCTCAGTTTCCCCCTCTATAAAACGGGCTAGAGTGTTCCCCCCTCACAGGGCTGCGGTAAGGATTGCACGAGACAATCCACGTAAAGCCCTAGCACGTGCCGGGTACACAGAAAGTGCTCCCTTGACACTACCCTTTGTTAACAATAATCATGGTCGCTTTTGCATGGGCCCTGATTTCTTGCCGCATCATAGCCTTTCAGCCATGCATGGTGACTTCCCCTCCCCGGGGGGGTCGTCAAGGAAGAAACCGCAGAGCTTGGCCCCAGACCTGGTCAGCTGCCATCGCCTCACTGACTCGCAGAAACATTCAGCCACCACACAACCCTCCACTGGCCACACCAGAGTCCTTGGGTGTCCACCAACCTCCGAACACTGCCCATAAGTTCACACTCGGTGATCTGAGCTTCGTGGAGACAAACAGCCAAGCCAACGGGCATCCATGTTAAATCCTAGAAGGGCTCACGACACCGTCTCAGAAGGGCTCACGACACCGTCTCATAGGGTCGTTATGATCATCACAAGAGGGCTGGGTTAGAGTCCTGGTGCATACTGTGTGCTGGGTAAGTTGTAGGAGGTGATGGTTATTATTATTGTTGTTGTTCCTGCTGATAACTATCAGCCCCATGGAGGGGCGACCCTTCCTCCCGTGGCTCACAAAGCCCTCCTCAGCCCAGCTCCATTACCTGACTGCTCTGTGACTTTTCGCTGCTGTTCAGTGCCTCTCCAGTATGTTCCAGCAATAAGGCATGGCTGTATCTACACACACACCTCACTGTGGTTCACCTTTGGGCCTTGGCTTGTGTTGTTCGCTCCACCTGGTGTATCCCAGCCCTCTCCTCTCTTCTCCTCAATCTGATAAACTCCTACTTGCTCTTCAAGATTCACCTCGGGAGTTACCTCTTCCAGGAAGCTGCTCCCAGTGCCTCAGGATGCTCCCATAATGATGCATCCTGCTCATCTCTGTTGTGGTACTTACACAAAGCATTTACAGTGCATATATGGTTGCACATATAGATGCATTTATGTATAAATATTTATCTAATTATGCTTGTGTGTTCAGTAAACCAATGAATGAAAGTGACCTGAGGCAAGTCATTTCCCTTCCGGAGCTCAGTTTCCTCATCTTCAAAACGAGGGGCTGACTCCATTGGTCACTTGCCGAAGGGTCGCTCATTCACTCAGCAAACATCAAATGATGCCTGCTCTGCGGTCTGTGCTCAGGGTCCAGGCACAGAGGAGAATAAGACAGCTCTCCCCTCCCAGTGGGAAGACAGTCTGCCTACCACCAGTATGCTGTTATCATTTCCCAGTCTCACAGACCCGGCGTTCTGGAATATTTTGTCTACTATGGGTTAGTATACTGGCTCTCTCCCAGCTGGCTCTCAAAAACATTTGTGCAGCTTTAAATGGAGATACACAGCCCAGGAGATCCTAAAGAAAAATATTGAGGAGTGGTGGTGCATCTTCATTTTTTAAAAGACCCACAGCTACTTTCACTGGGCAGCTAGAGAACTACTGTTAGAGATCCACGATTTGGTTTTACTGTCTTCACGACAAAGCAAAGCTTATCATGACCACGGAGCTGAAAAAGCAGACTCTTGACGTATCGGGTCCTGGCTCAGCTACAGCGTCTGTGGGATGGTGAGAGTTCTAGGGGGCTTAGCACCTCTTGCTGGACCTGGGGGACGAGGGCCCTTAGGGAGGGGGTCTGGCTTGGACGGTCCCTCTTGCTTCAGGCCCCTGTCTCAGCTCTGGGCCCACCCACCCTCCCGCTGTCCTATTCTGATCTGCCCAAGCCTGTCCAGCCAGGGTGCAGAGAGCAGAGTCTCCCTCAAGCCACAGGGTAGCCTCGTCCCAGCACCTTGTCTGCTGCACCAGGGGGGTGTCAGAGGTGCTCTCGTGGGTCCTGGCCGGGGCACTCTCGGTCCCACTGCCTGTAGACGATGCAAAACAAACCCTGCCTGGATGGAGGCTTTGTTTTTCTCTTGGAAAGTTCAGCTGAAGCTGCTAGCCCTGGAGGATCAGGAGACGGAGATGCAGGCCACAGGAACCACTTGGGGCCACAACAAATGGGGAGGGGCCACAAGCACAGTGTTAACCGTCTCAGTGACTTTCCTAGCGAGCCACAGTATCCTATGCTCATCCCTCCCTCTCCCAGGAGCAGCTCTCTGCAGAGGCTTTGCTCTGTGGGGAGCCTCCAGGGAGCTATTTAATCTGGCTTCCTGGGTTAGGAAAGACCTGCAGCCTCCCCAAGTGTGAGCTGAAACCCCTTCCCTCTCCAAACCCAAACTCAGGCTGTGCTGGGCTTGGCCTGCGGAGCACAGGGCCCCGGTGGGGAGGATGCCCCTCCACCCAGGAGCCAGGAGCTGGCTCACCTGGGCCATGTCTGGGGGACCCTCAGTGCCCCTGGGCTTGACCCTCAAAGCCATGCCCCTCTGGCTCATGGTCTCCCCATCCCCCTCTCCTGACCATCCACCTGGAGAGAGGGGCGGACAGGTGGGGAATGAGGTACCAAATCTGCCCCTCTCTGCACCCCCCCACCCCTTCTCCACATACAGGCCACAGTGAGCCTCTTAAAAGGCACATCAGGTCATGTTGCTTCCTGCTAACCCCCCACTGCTCTCCCAGCTGCCTTCCAATCATGCATAACCTGTCCCTCTGAGCTCATCTCTCATCTCTCTTCCTTGGCCCACTCCCAGCCCCACTGGCCTCCCTGGAAGAGGCCACTAGGGCCTCTGCACTAGCTGTTCCATCCGCCGGACTGCCCTTCCCCTTTATCTTTGTCCTTCCTGTCACTCAGATCTCAGCTTAGATGCCCCTCCTCAGAGGACCTCCCTGACCACGGGATCTAAAGTAACTGATCATCACTTTCTGTGACAGCAGCTTGTCTTAATCCCCTGTCCGGCACTTACGACAGTCTCAGCTATCTAATTTGTTTATTATCTTCTCTCCCCTCCTTCCCCCAGAGTGCAAAGTCCCCCCAGAGGGCAGTGGCCTTTGTTGTCGTCCCCTGCAGAGCCCCCCAGGGGTCTAGCACAGGCCTGGCTTAGAGCAAGCACTGGGTACACAGTTGTCGAGAGAATGGTTGAGCTGCTGTAAATCAGGACACCAGTCGCGGCGCGGGCGCGCGCTCCAGGCTGTGGCCGCTCACGGTCGAGCGCGCGGGTTTTATCTCATTGGGGATCCCGGGGGAGGGACGCCCCCCACCGCCCGGCTCGCGGCAGACGCGTCGTAAACGCGCTTCGGGGACGCGCGGATAACGAGACAGACTCAGGCTGTGGGAAGACTCGCGTGCCGGGCGAGGCTGCCGGTGGTGAAGGGGTTCTGTGCGGCTCGGCGCCCCCCGACCCTGGCGTTAAGACCCCAGTGGGAGACCTTGCTCCACCCTCCCCAGTGGTCGGTCTCCACCTCGCGAATCACAGATTCTCCCCCGAATTCCCGGGACGAGTGGTCCAGTTGGCGGGGGAGCGGTGCTCTGAACGCCGCTCCGGGCTAGGGCAAGCTCCCGGCGCCCTGGCCCCCTCCGGGCTGGGAAGAGGGTACGGACCGCGCTCGGGACACGGTTGGCGAGGCCCTGGCTCTCCCCGTGCGCAGACGCCGGAGCCACAGCCCCCGTCTGGAGTAGAACCGCAGCCTCTCTGCGCGCTCCGGCAGGGGACGAGGGTGGAGATGGGGGCGGAGGAGCCGGGGGCAGAGAAGGGGACAAAGAGCTGCCCTGCCGCCGGGGAGAGCGACCCCTGTGTCAGAGTCCTATTGTTCCTCGTATCTCAGACTATGCTGGACTCTGGTGCCCCCGGGAGGGAGAAGGGGAGCTGTCCTCCGGACCGTGGGTACAGTATTTGTCTATCTGGGGCGGGGCAGGGCGGGCGGGGTGCGCGGGCCGGGGAAGGGGCTCGGCGCCCATTTCCGCGCGTCTCCTTTAAGGGAAGCCCTGCCCCACCTTTCCCACCTTCCCCCTCCCCGAAGCCGTACCTGCATTTTAAAAGCTCCCTGTAGCCCTGGGATTGGCCAAGGCCGCGTCCTCCGGGCGCAGAAACTTGAACCGCCGGGAGGGGGGTTGGAAGCCCAGGGGTGGACTGTACCATCTCGGCGGCGTCCCCTGCGCGCGCCCCGCCCCTCCCACACACCCCCGGAGAGGCCCAATCGGACGGGCAGGAGGGCGGGACCGCGGCTCGAACGCGCCTCTGGCAGGGCGCCGAGCGGGCGGGCGCACGGAGCCGGGGGACGTCGGGGGCTTGTGGCGCCTCTACACCCGCTCGCTCC